TAATATTTAAAAAATGATATTTCAGATCAAAAGGAGCCATCTACTTCTCAACTCAAATTCTTGAAGACCACAAAACTGAACAATCATAATCATAATCATAATTTATTAGCCCAAGTATGTATAAAGTACATTTAAGGTTGTCATAACAGAGGTATAAGTATATGTATAGAACGTAGATTCAGTGTAAAACATAGAAAAAGTAAACGACATATAGTTTAGTGACAAACAGTACATGACATTTACAGTATCTGAGAAACTTTCAACAACATTTTCAACTATTGCAGTACTCTCCTCCATTGTCAGTACGTAAAATTTTGATTTTACTGTCAGACTGATGTTCAACAAGCTATTTGAAAATTTTGAAATAATCCGTGACTTGATCCTTTGATTTCAAGAAATAGACTGTAGTCATCTAAAAATGTCAATACATATCTGGAACCTGCCAAACTGTTTACCTCCATCGGTCCTACGAGGTCTGAATTGACAACAATGTTCAGTAGTGGAGTCACTCTTAGGAAAAGGTAAACGGTGGCTTTTTCCTAACGTGCAAATATCACAGGCAACATTAGTTTTTTCAGAAATGTTGAAAGCATTAGAAATATCACCTAACTTACAAAGGCTGTTGTACGAAGAACTAGCAGAAGCACCTTATTTGAATAAATTGTTTTCCAACTGGCAGAAGCGATTAGTTGTCTCTGTCTATTGAATATTTTTGCTCCGTTGCTATTGAACACCACGTAATGTCCTTTACTGACTAATTGGCTAACTGATAGCAAGTTGACCTCTAGTTCTGGAACATAATATACGTTTTTGACATTTATATTTGACGAATATTTGCCTGAAGTCACTGGTAATGAAATATCGCCGACGGTATCTGACGTCCTACTTTCATTGTTAGCGGCAGTTATATATATTTTTTCAGTCTTTCTCGACCGTGCAACATCTCAGGGTTTCTGCAGAGATGACAAGATGCACCGTCGTCGAGAAAAAATTCTGAATTATCAGAGGGTCGATCAGAAAAAACAGAAAAAACAGCGACGTATCTGCATCCTTGTTCGGATTGTTTCCGCTCCTCTTATCAGCTCTGGGTGAAAAACAGTTCTTGAGGATGTGTCCGTAACCGTTACACTGAAAACAGCGGGGCCCGCAGGTTGTGTGTCTATCTGTGATTCAGTTGTTGAGGAGGTAGCTTTTGATTCCATGATGTTTTGGGTGATTTCGAGAGGTATGGGCGAAAACAATGGGTTTTCCCCCAGAGGTTGTGGTAGTGCTATCGGTGTATTCTCAATGCTGTTCGGATGATCTTCTTGTGCTGGGGTTTTCGTAGATATAGTTTGGTCTGGTGGTGACTGAGTAATTGCTCTTGTACATTGAGATGCTAAGTGGCCAGATTGCTTGCAGTTAAAGCATGTCATATTGTCTTGTGACACGAATATGCGGTATGATATGTTTTCATAGGATATGGGAAGTGATTCTGGAAGTGTGACATTGGTAGTACCAATGTATACCTGACGACGAAAACTCACGATGTGGCTGTATTCGGGATCAGATACACCAATCCTCAAGAATGAAGTTGGTGATACTAGGTTTAGTCCTAATTTCTTCAGTTCAGTTTCTATAATGTGATGTGGAATCGAAGGGCAAATGTTTGATAGAACCTAACGTGTTGCTGGGGTTATTAGACGTCGAGCTTGGATAAGTTGGTTGTTTATTGTGATGGAACCATGTTGAGTCATAAAGTTTTCGATAATATNATAATATGGAACCATGGGAATGCAGAACTAGATTCCTATAACCTTAATTCACAATAAATAGATGTTTGCTACTGGGTAGTTCGCCAAATGCTTTCAAACAACAATATAGACATATTTATCTCATTACACGCCTCTCATAAATCTTTGAAAAACCACTGAAGAAAAGATGATGTTCCTTCATCAGTAAATATAAACTTATTTCGCCGAAATTATACGAATTCAAAGAAAAAACATATAAAGAAGACGCGATTTTTTAACTAATCGAAATAACATATAAATCTTCAGAGAAAGGAAAACCTTCTCTTTGCCTGTGAATCGACTTAACAAATTTTTCGATACAGTTGACCGTCAATTATTATTACAAACACTAAACAATAATGGAGCCAGATGAATATTCTTGGGATTATTTCAAAGCTAATTTGAAAACAAAGAACAATTTGTGAGAATAGCAGATGAAACTAGTGAAGAGGTAGAAATTGAATGCATGATTCTTCAGGTCACAGTTTTAGGTCCTTAATTGTTCAATCAAGCGGAAGAGTTGGCACCGCTGGGAAAATAAGTTAGAGGCATATTTCTAATTATTGAAAGTCTGGCTTGATAACAGACTCATGACAGTATATGCATCTAATACTGAAAAAATAAATACACGAAGGTTCACTTCATTATAGCCAATAAACTTCATGATAGCATAACGGAAAAAAAATCTCCAATATTATAAAAAAACAATTAATAAAAAGATTTTCATCAGCAGCATTATCACTTTCGAACCGTTTACAGAACTGAAGGTTCTTCGTGAACTTGAAAGTGAAACAGCTACGGGGTTTCAAGACATGAACAAAATCCGAAACATATTTCCTAACCTTACATTTCTGTGATAGTTACTGGTGCAGAAAGAAGTTATTTCCGTCTGAAGTTGATAAAAACGTTATCAAGATTATTCATCAACCAAGAATATTCAACATCTTACATTATATTATCTTTTAAAGCTACAGCCAAAGTTAGTTTTTATTGAGGAACTGATGTTTCCACTGATACTAATCAAGAGAAATGGAGTATGTATAGGAATTACACGTTGAAAGGTAAGACTTCGTTAGTCCTTGACTCGCACCAGTTTTTACTTCTGAGGGTTATCATTCCTAGGGGTGCGACAACTGGTTAACGGAAAAACATATTTTTTTAACTATAAACAGATTACAGTTTCACGTAATGAAGTCTAAATAGTGGAAACATTCCATACTTCTTATGAACATGGCGGAGATTAATAGAATTTAACAATTATCTGATAGGATAAAAAACTCTTCTATATCCTTTATGTCTTGCGTTTTGTCAGCCTCTTTAGATTAAAGATTTCATTTATTCACTTGAAAACCTAAAAAATAATTTTTTCTTTATATCGTAAAGTTCATTCAAGAAGAGTATTCATGAAGTTTTAACCACAATAGAATAACCGATGATTATTTTTTTACATTTTTCAAACTACTCACTTCAGAGACAAATTGTAAACTGCAGAACTATGTTACCTGTTTTGTAATGACATTCGTGTAGGTACTAAAGATTGTGAATATTTGAACCAAAATGGTTTTAACAATGATATTATTTAAACGAAAACAAAAATTTCAGAGGAAAATTTATTCAAGTGAAATTATTAGATCTTAGAGATTTTTGTGATAATATATGTAATATCATATCAAAGAAGATAAGTTGTTGAATCTCGCATCAAACTTAATAAAAACTCCTCGACTAAAAATATCCTTGTTTAATAAATATTGAACGTTGTTATGACAGTTTTTAAAAAATTAATACATTTTTGTGAAATGGCACAACATATCACACATAATAACTCCTCCAGACTAGAGAAATTTCAATCAGGGGTATGACTGGATAACTCAACGTCCATTGTATCCGTTTGTTTCCAGATATTGAATTTGTTGGAAGAACAAAAATGCCAACATCTGAATTCTACACAAGCGCTAATCGAGACGTATAGGCAACACAACATACCGTTTCAGTTTTAGATCACAGAACTCCTAAACTAATATTTCATGATACTCATAACGAAAGCGTATCTTTCTTTGGAAGATTTCCTCATCCTTTTTTTGTATCAAGATGGAGTAGTAGAAAGCCAAAAACTTTCTTTCCCAAAAACGTATCAAAAACGTTGTGCGAATTTCCAGAAAATTAGGGAGAATGAATACAACAACATTTATTTGAATGATCTGATATCTGAGAATACATACCTACCTGTAAGTAGCTACTTTACATGCATCTATCTTTGTGGTCTTTAGTTAGAAGCAGCCTGGTATGTAAGGAATTAATTTTTTCGACATTATGAATATCTAAGGTAGAATAGAATTGACATAAATAACATAGTGATTACAGCTTTTCGTGATTTTGAGGTTGATGGGACTGCATAAATATAAATATTGTCAATTTTTACATTTTTCGTTATCTCCCCCCCAAGTCTCGTTATTATAACAGAAGCCAACCGCACATTTGTGGTTCCAGTTAGGAGACCTAGAATTCCCAGGCTACATCTAACATGACCACGTAGCTATAGCTGCCTACGTATTCAATACCGGAGTGTAGAGCAACACCGGAGTCTCGTCAATACCGTAAGAGTGCCCTGGGACGCGTTATGTCGATCAATCTGTTTCAAATCTGTTTCTCCGTTAATCAACTGTCGCCCCCATACGAACGACAACTCTCAGAAGTTGAGAAACTTGTGCGAGCTAAGGACTAACGAGGTCTTACCTTTCAACGTGTGATTTCTAATACGGTGGCAGAATCATCCCAGCTTCAACCAGATAAATTCTCTCGAGAAAAATATCTGGTCGAGGTGGAAATTGAACCCACGGCCAACTCCACAATATAGGCCGAGACCGCATATGCTAGACATGCTGACAGCAACTGCATTTAGGCGAAAAAGGCGAAATACTTCGGATATATGCACACCATAGAGCATGCACCACTCTCTTGGCAAATCATAACGTTATTTCTCAGCTCATGCGTCCACTCAAAGCATCTGTTGTCATTCCCAGGGTCGTATGCGGTAGGAAAATCATCATTATGGGCCCCACTACCTTGCTTCTGACCCCTTCGAGCGGATCCATTGTATATACTGATTTATTGAAAAAAAATTAGTTATAACGTAATAGCGGTCACACTACGATAATAAGGTTCTGACACAAATTTAACGGTGTCAAAGTTAAGGTTTATACAAGTTACCACATGATGAAAGTAACGGACTGTAACGAGACACAAACAAATTTTATTGAAACACAAATAAATCAATCAAAAATAAACAAACATGTTACTGCTATAAGAGACAAGTTCACTCATCATCAGTTTTAGGCTTGATTTCAATCCCACCACGAACTGCTTTCTGCTTTCCTTCCTTCTTTGATTGGTGTTTTCGTATGTAGTTGATGATTTTTGTTCCAAAATTCCATTTTTTCTTCTTCAATTCACAGGGGAACTTCAGAGTGCGATAACGGGAAGCAAGACTCAGGCCTTTTCCAGAAGTACCCGCCATTGGGAAAGTCATTGTTTTCTTGTAATCATCACCTTTTTGAGTACTCTTATCACTGGAACTGGCTAGTTGAATGTCATCCATGCTGTCTTCTTTGGTCAGTTCTGCAAGAATTTCACAAGAATCACTTTGAGGCAAGGGTACAGTTTCAGGAGAAATGTATTCTTTCAATTTGGAGGGTCGATCTCCCGAGTCTAGCTCCACCACACGTAGTACTCTCTCAGGGCCGCTATCGAAAGATGTTTCTTTTGTATTCTCACTCAGCATTAATTTGGCGAGTATTTGCTTTGAATTTTTCACGAGATCTGTGAGTCGACTCTTCTTCTCTACAGTCTGATGCTTAATTGGTGTTTCTTCACTTATTCCTTCGTCTGCTTCCAGTTGATCCCCAAGACCTTTCAAGGGCGTAGTGCAGATTATTGCCTCTATTTTATCCTCCATTTTCATTTTTTCTTCAGATATGGCAAGTTCTTGAAATTTATTAGACAGATTTTCTAATATATCTCCCACTACTTTAACAGATTTCTGATCTTCGATCTCTACGACAATATTAAGAGCGTCCTCTAAGATTTCAGAAACCAGTTCACTAGCTACTGCAGTCGCTAGGTTTTGCTCACTCCTGGATTTTTTCTCTAGTTCACAGTCACCAGTTCCTACGAAAAAAATAATCAGTCTTTGTGGAAGGTAAAAACTCCTCGACTTACCTATTTTGTTGATAACTTCGCAAGACATTTTTCATGATATTTTTATCTCTATTTGAAAATTGAAATGACAAATGTCACCACCAATCAACACGATTGTTTTTAAGTCTTGACATACCTTCATTTTGACAACTTCCAGTTTAGTTCAGATACAAAATTATGCGAGTTATTTCTTTTACTGAAACCTTTAACACATGATGATTTCACTTTTCGGCTGAGAATGATAAAAATCAATCCTAAACCAAAATGTAAACCAGAAAAATTACTACCGAATAATGTGCCAGAAAGGGACGTTGAACTGTGCCTCGAGGTTGAAATGGACGATGAGGTGAAAGATATCATTACATGTCCGGCAAAATATGGATCCACTTTGTTAGATGTTACTGTTATCAAACCCAAAGATATCGACAAATTATACTCCTCTCATAAAAAGACCATGAGTAGTGATGAAGTCAGAAAGTTCATAGCATCCATGAATTTGGAAGGTACCGGCGATGATAAAAAAAGCCAAGACACCCCGAAAATACATTTAGCACCAGCGAAAGATCAAAAGGAATCATTAAAATCATCAGGTGATCATGCGAAACTCACGAGTATCATCGAAAATCAAAAATTCGGCAAGTTTGGAGACGTTTTGTTAGATAGTTTAAAGAAAATGTATACAACAGATGAAACCAGTTCAGATCATTATTCGAATGAACGAGATACCGACAAAGTGAAGCAAATTTATACAACTCCCAAGACATTTCTTGACTTGAATAAGATGTTTGAATGCAAACGTAAGAAAAAAAGGGAACAGAACGAAAAGTTGAATACTCCATGTCTCTGCCAAAACTGTGCTATTGTCGGTGTTGTGACGGATTCACAGAAGAAACCATTTGCCACCGAAATGATGTACGATCCGAGAGAAACGTGTCCCAGTGCAAAAAAAGATGTCAGAGAGGAGTACAAGAAAAGAAAATTTGTGAACTTCAAAGATTCAGAAAATCATTATCAATGCCAGTACTATTTCTCCCATTTGAACGAGAAAATTAGGAATTTAGAAGCTAGAATTGCGGTCCAGGAAGAAAAATCAGTACCCAAAGATTATTTCAAGCGAATTGTAACGAAGCTTGTATCACATATAACCAAACTCACCACCGGAAGTCAGATCAAGATACCAAGTGATTCTTCGCAAAAAAAGCACAGAGATTCCAACAAACATTCGGATAAATATAATATCGGTTCGAAATATGTGATGAATCCAATTCTGATTGATAATAAAGGAGTACCGCCGGAGAAAGAAAATTTTAGACCACATAAAGATAGTGCGAGCACTAGTCAATCTGCTAATGTCAACCAAATCTTCTTGAAATGGGGCGAAGAAATTTTGAAACCTGGAATTGACCTGAAAAATAAAATCATCGTTCTCATGGAAGACACTCTCAATAATTTGAAAAAATCCAAGGAAAAAACTAGAGAAGAAGAAATCAAACATTTTGTTGATGAATTTTCCAGTAATCTCTACAAAACCGTTCATGAATCACCTGAGAGAGACACAAAAATCCATAGTAGACAAGAATGCAGGGAGGCGTCCCAGAATACCGAGGAAATTAATGCGAATCGAAAAAGATTAACCAAAATATTTAATAGGAAGGAGGAACCGGTCAGTGTCGAGTACATCAATTCTCAAATTTTAAAGTGGCAAGATACCCAAACAACTTTCAAATTTGAATCATCTGATGTGGACTCCATGAAAGCAATTGATTTCAAAACTGATTTATGTAAGTACTTTCATCTTAATTTTTTTCTTAGTATTGAAGTTTCTGAAGAAGAATACATCTCTCATTGAATATGTAAAAACGTATTAAATAAGAGTTCGTTATTGCAAAATAAATCGAGGAAGTGTTGGGTTGAATATTCAGTTTGATCCTATTTTTCAGATTATCCATTCGACCATAATCATGGGCGTTGAAAATATTAGATACATTATATCCTTTATAATTAAATTGTATATGTATTCATCATCTCTACAGCAACATGATAACGCTTAAATGAAACAACCGAAACATCAATACAAAAACTTAAAAAACTCTTTTCTGTTCCATTTTCCACTATTTCACCATTGATGCCACATCTTAAAAATTATGCATTATGGATAAATCATTTTATAGTGGGTCTTCTTTCCAAAGGGTTGGGAGGAATTTGAATTGTAATTGTTTAATTTTTACATTCAGAATTGCGGAATTTTGACACAAATTGAATTGGACACAATTTACAATCAAAAATACAATTGCGATTCAATTTTTTTTTATTGAAGTAAAACTTCTTTACGCGCGCTTGACTTGGGAGCTGGTGAATGCGTGACGAGAGTGTTACGAAAAGTGTGATCGAGCGTGGCGAACGGCAGTTGAGAGGGAGGTATAAGTTAGTGAAGATTGAAAGAAAGAGAGAGTTACCTTTTGTATATTACTGTAGGGGCAAGAGAGAGAGAGAGAAGTGCGAGCACACATTTATGGTCGAGTAGGCTCTAAAGAATCGGGAGAAAACGATCATACGTTGCCACTAATTTTAGCAGGAGATTCCAATGTTAATTTTGCTTCCGAAGATGGGCAACTCTTGTAAACTTTCTAAAAGATAAATTGGAACTACAAATAAATTAATAATAACCGAAATGAGACTACCACAAGACATGGAACAACAATCGATGCAGTTTTCTCTTGATATCTTTCCAATTTTCATTCGAAAACATATGTGTATTTTATTTCACATGACATTAACCTATTGTCTCGGTCTTAGAATCAACCACACTGATGTATCCGATAATGAAAATGATAAATAAAAATAAATAATCTATTCAAAAATGTTAATTTATCAATGGAACCCCATAATAAATTTTAATATTTGTAGAAAATAAATATATGTGTATTATGGTGTTTCATTTATAGTCGATGTTTTTTTTTTGATCGTTTTACATTTCAATAAATAATAAAAAATCTGAATCTTGTCGGGGAGCGTGAATTGACAAATGCGCACAATACCGTGCTTATAAATACAACAATATTATAAAAATACAGATATAATGGACTTCTTGGTTTTCTACTCTGCTAAGGGAAAATTTTTCCTGGAACACGAAAATTCTCAAGCAAAAAATGGCTTTCGAAAGCCATCGTGTATGGTGTGTCGGTCCAGGATTTTTAAAAGTTGTTTTTTTTTTGGAACGGTTTCCCAAATATACTGACGCTAGTTCGAGTGAAACTAGAAGAAATTTGAAAATTCAATTTCCTACAAAAGATTCATACCAATTTTTTACTGAAACAAATTTTTTGATACCCAAAAATCGAGTTGAAACCGAAAAAAAAATGTTTCTGTGTCATTTATATTTTGTACAATTTTTTTGTCAGTAGTTTTTTCAAAATCGAATAAAAACTGCATCAGTCGTGATGTCGCTAACATTTGATATGAACCTGGCAACACCGTAGAACTTATTTATATTGCTTGATAATTTTTTTCTTTCTCCACCCGGTATGATGTAAAAATTATAGACCCAATCAACTTCTTTTTGTTTGGAAAAGTAGCCTCATAGCCCAGGAATATTAGTCAAATGAGGGAAAATATTTCGGAATGAGAGATAGTCAGTTATGAAGTGATATTAACCTTTATTTTGGCAAGTCAAAACTTGTTTTGGTACCTACTTATGTTAGGGTGTCCGTGACTACAGATATTCATGGTCAAAAGTCAAAAAATCGATTTTTTACACATTTATTGCAAATATCTCGATTCCTATGGGTTTTATGCTATTTGTATTCATCATAAATAATGTAGACGATTAAATCCACTACAACTTTTGTTCAAAAAAATGTTTTATATCTTGAACGATTTTCGAGATAGAGGGCAGAGCACGTGCAGTGTTTAATTATTCAGTGTGTCATTCGATGCCAACCTGCAGTCCCGATTAAAAACACGCTGTATACAGTTTATAAATTTTTGATGAATATATAATTCTGAATAATTCGCAATTTTCATTACTTATTACGTTATAATTAATATTTTTTTCAATAATTCAATGACAATGAATCCACCAGCTCCGGAGGAATTGCTCAACACAATATTCTGCAACTGCAAAAACGGTTGTGGTTCGCGATGTGATTGCAGAAAAGTAGGGTTGCGGTACTCTCTAGCTTGCGGCCAGTGTAATGGGTAAGCTTGTCTTGATGCTTTACCACAGAAAGATATCAATGAAGACGATACTTTTGACCCTCAAACCCTGGAAGAACTGGAGACATATGTCCTTGAAGACGAGAACACAGAGATATTTGAAATTTTATAGCGACTGAAAGATGATGATAGAAAAGAAGAAGAAAATTGAAAATATAACTTGTAGTTCATAAATGCATATAATGGAATTTTTCAATAAAAACATTAACTAAAAATCAAATTCTTATCTTTTTATTTAGTTAGGAAGTGGTTAGTATAAATAAGATTAGAAATGAAAAATAATTGGAGAATTTTCCTTAATAAGTTTATAATTACACGCGTAGGTTAGTGTTATTGAATTAATGGATACTGAGTTATTCAAAAAAATATTAATTATAACGTAATAGTTGATGAAAAAATCCAGATAATTCAGAATTACATATTGATCAGTAATTTATGGATTTTAATG